GGCCAGTCACCCATCACATGCTGAGATGCCCTTGACTGGAGGGCCTCCAGGGACCCCATGGGCCTTTGAATACATGACCAGTGTTACTCTGTGCCACACAGACCTACGAGCTGTAACGACTGCCCTTCCCTATGTCTGTGCCTCCTACAAAGCCCTTCCTTGTGTTCGAGGGCAGATTTTTGCTGAGCAAAGCATCTCAATCCTGGTCTAAGGAGATGAAAGTACAGTGGACTCTGGTTGCCTAGAGGAGGGGAGTGTGTGATCTGTGGGACCTCTGGTAGAGACGGGAATCAGATGACTGACACCATGAAGTGTCAGGGGAAAGGAGTAGGCGCTGTGTGGACTGCTGGCCCAGTGCAGTTTATCCCGGGGCGAGAAGTCAGATGCGGGGAAAGCGAGGAAGGAGCAGCGCAGACGGGTGCTGCTGTTCTGTTTGGGGCTTAGCTGTCCTGAAGGGCCATCCAAGTGAGATGGAACAAGCGTGCAAAGGAGCAGAGTTAGAGCGAAAGCAAGCCTGTTCAGTGGCCAACTGTGGCCACGCTCCTTCCTAGAGGACACACAGCCCACAGCCTCCTCCTCTGCCAGCCTGTCAAACACTGCCCATCCCTTTAGAGGCCCTGCCTCTATAGCAAGCCTGCCAACCACAGTAGAGTCACATATGAAAGGAGCATGGCCGTTATTCGGTGTATGTTTGGAGAAAGCGGGACAGTGTGAGAAAATCTGCCCTCCGGAACAGTGTCATTCCTGGGCGCTACCACCAGAGAACCTCTAATTGCAGACAAATACCCCTCCCCAATTATTTTTACACATAAATTAACGAAAATGTTACCAACTGTTCTGATGTTTATTGTGGCTTTTGTATGTATCTTAGACACCACCCCCACTCTGTCTATGTAGCTCAGTCTGGACTCAACAGTTTATAGCCGAGGCTAGTCTTGAACATCCTTACCTTCCTAAGTGCTGCGATTACAGGTGTTTGCCACCATGGCCAGCTAAGCTCTTTCTTTTTAATATCAGAACAGTGTTCTAGAAGACAGATTACAACACAAATTGCTCAAGCAACTCTCCTTTGATGAGCAGCCCATCCTTTTATTATTATGGGCAGGCATGCAGTGAGCACCCCTTGCCCCATTAATCTTCTCAGAGGGTAAGCACCTGGTTCATAAATTTTGCAGAGAAATGGAATGGGCTGGGCTTCCTAGGATCCAAATCAGGCAGGAGTATGGACAGGAAGGCAAAGCAGAGGGAAAGCCCAACCCCACCATTGCCCTACTATGCGTCATAAAACCCTTTTCACCGATGCCAAGTACGACTGCTGCTGAGTTCAGAGCTACAGTGAGGAAAAATGTGATCACACAGATAGACTACAAACCCGGTGCTTTCCCCCACAGATGTCATTGCCACAACTCTGGCTGCTAACAGTCAGCCTGGTCTAAGGAAGCCATGGCTGCTGGTCTTGAAGGCCTTTTCCTTCCAAGCTCTTACAGATGTGAGTCTCTCTAGGCCTGTGCGGTGTCAATACATTTTTTCTTCCACTTTATGAACACACTGTCAACCCGGTGAGATTGAGTTTCAGAAGGCCAAGACGACTTCCAGGACTTTCCCCTCCATCCCCTATCACACCGTCTTGCTCAGTCAGTAAAATCCAGCCCTGCTCACCTCCTCTCGCCTCCTGGCGAAAACTGCCTGAACGTTTCCTTTTCTGCTCCCTCAGATGTTCTGCGCTTTGACAACACCTACAGCTTCATCCACGCCAAGAAAGTCAGCTTCACTGTGGAGGTCCTGCTTCCAGACAAGGCAGCAGAGGAGAAGATGAACCAGCAGGGGGCAGTCACGTCCAAATAACAGCTCTCGCCTGCCCCCCTCAGAGCCTTCCTGTCAGTTTCTTTATAGTAGCCACTTTCCTACAACCTGGTAGTCCGAAGAAACTGGGCTGGAGGGAAGACTTCAGACTGCACAGGAGACCCGGGCCAGAATCCAAAGAGGACAAATAGCTAGGGTGGGTCCTTGTCATCAGATTGCTAAGGGGGCGTCTCCGGAAACTGGCTCTAAAACGATGTCTACCCTGTAGACCTGCCAACTTCACCTGCCCAGTGACAGCTAAGTCAGGGAGAGGAGGGGTACACAGGATGGCAGCAGGGAAGAAATTAGAAAGAAGTGAAGAGATTGGGGTGCCACGCTCAGGGAAGTCAGCTGCTGGGAAGGACATTTGCTCCTAAACGAACATGGAACAAACCTCCATGGTCGTAATGATGGTTGCAAGGGAGCAGGCTGCTAGGCACATGATGGGAATCCCCACCTCTTCCAAACTTTTTGTAAAAGGTTTGAGTATCACCCCACCCCCACCCCAGTCTCAGGAGTAACCCAAGTCGGCACTGGAAGGCAAACAGAGGGGTCTCTCTCCCCTAGAGAACCTCGCCAACTCCTGGGCCCCACTGGCTGCCTGTTTAGTTCCTAATGGTTGCCAGTGACCCAGAGTTCTGTGGGACTTTGGTACCTAGCCACTGCTGTCCAGTGAAAGAGAAACTTTCCAAAAGCACAAGGGTAATTACCTTTAGGAATGACAGATCTGAAAGGGCCCAGGAGGCCGTGGGTGGGTCCTAAGCCTCTAAGTAAGCCTCCACTTGAGCAACCCTACACAAAAAACGGGAAGTGGGAGTGAACAGCACACAGAAAGCACTTCCCAGTCTGAGTCTCCCACAGTGCCTGGGAACCGGTCTCCCGACTGACCTGAGAGAGGGCTCGTCAGGCCCTTCTCTGTGGAGGCATGTAACGGCAGGGCAGCCCTGCCGTGGGTTCCTCTCGCCTCTGGAAGCCAGGGAAGGAGGCTGCCCGGGAAGGTGGCCATAGGGCAGGCAAGCATCTGAGCCAGGGGCAAGGGGCGGTCACAGGCGACCTTGCAATAGCAGCTCTTGACCCTACACACCTTGCGAGCGAGCGAACGCCAGGTTACGGACTGCCCAGAATTCTGGAACGCGGCCCCAGGCCCTTGCGAGGACCCCCTTTCCCCTCAGAATGAGACCCCGGCCCAGCCTGAGGACTCGTTCACCACGCAGAGGGAGCTCTGAATAGGTGCAGGGCTAGCAACCAGAGAGGGCCGAGGCTACCCAGGATCTAGTCACACACCTCAGGAACATTTCCTGGCCTTGGTTTACAATGCTCTTAGGTACATTAACCAATGAATAAAGCAATTTTCAAATCAAATGAAGTAGAATTCATTGCCTATCGCCGGCTTCCTAGCGGTCTCTACACTAGATTCAAACTTGAACTTGTCAGAAGGCAAGTAAAGAACTCTGGCTAAAAGGATGCACACACAGAGGCGTTCTGACCCTCTCCTCTCGCGTGAACTTCCCCAGTAGTCCTACCAAGATGACTTCTGATTAGCGCAGCCGCTGAGTGCCGTCCGCCATCTTTGTTTATGGCATGAAGATGCTCCCGACAGCCTTCACGGTGAGGGCGGAGACCCCGCCCCATTCGGTGATTCCGGACGCACTGGGTGGTTCGTTCGCGCCGAGCGGCGTTGGCGAGCGTGTGCGGCGTGAGCAACGGGTACTAAAAGGGAGGGAGGCAGCGGATTATCATCACGTGGTTTTAGGGACCGTCATCTAATTCCACTCCAACACTACCGGTGTTTCAAGGCCTGCAGACAAATCTACCTTTCCCACCCGCTCCGGCACCGGGCCCTGTCCCCACTGACCCTCAAGATCCTATGAGGACACAGGCTGAAAACGGTGTCTTCCACAGGGAGTCGGTATCAACCTTTCAGATCTTTAGTCACGGATTAAAAAGAAAGGCTAAAAGAGCAGTACAGAAACCCCGCTCCTAACTACCTGGAATTGTTGCAAAGATTTTTTTTTTTTTTTTAAATACGTATCCCAGGCCGGGCCTGGAATTCCCTATGTAGACAGTCTGGCCTCGAACTCAAGTAATGCCGCCTGTTTTTGCCTCCTAAATTTAAAATCATTCGCCACCATGCCTGACTTTTGAAAATATTTAAGATATTTTGTATGTGTGTGTGAGCGTTTAGCACGCGTGTGTGGATGTCTCTGGAGGCCAGAAGTGTCAGATCCCCTGAAGGTGGAGTTACAGGTGGCTGGGAGCCACCTATGTAGGTTCTGGGAACCATAAGTTAGTCTCTGGAAGGGCTAGAGGCGCTATTAGCTACTGAGCAATCTCTCCAGCCCCCTCCATTTTGTTTTACTGACATGGACACCTGGGATTTGGAGAGGAGGTGGCTAACATCTGCAAGGTGACACAACAGGATTTGTCTCCAGGGGCCACACCGTTGCCTCTGATGTCCCAGAGTGCTTTTCCCCAGCAGGGGAAGGGCTCACCTCATAATAACTAATCCCCCAACTCCCTCCTTTTTATTCTGCTCATTTCCCTGGAGTTTAGTATGCCGAAACCTTGGCCCCTGGCCTCATTAGTTTGCTCATTCATGTGATGTCTGGCCCCCGGGGAGATCCAGTTAGCAGCAGAGGAGGAACTGGGGGCTCTCCGCTCTCACCTCTCCAGAGCACTGACTATCAACTCTCCCCGCCTCATTTATCGAATCCACTTTTAGAGAATGGGATCTGAAAACACCTAGTCTAGATTCAAATCCGTTTCTTCACCTTACAGTTGTGTGAGTCAGGAGAGAGACCTTTCTCTCTGTGCCTCTAATTTCCCTCTAAAACAGGACCCAAGGCTAGTGCAAGAGCTTAAGGAGGCAAACCAAGCGAATGAATAATACATGATGACTGTTTTAATTAGTCCTTGTGACTGGCTAGGCAGTGTGGATGCTGGCATGCCTCCCATTTACACAGGAACTGAGGCTCAGAGAAATACACCTTTGCTACAAAGTCACACATCTAAGAAGACACCATCCTCCGATTGGAACCCTGATCTGTTAAGCTCCAAAAACTAATCATGCCTGAGAATTTTGCAGTAACTGCTCGGAGAAAATGCGACTATCTGCAAAATCCAAGCCTAGGAGAGGGGCTTGGGTGTACAAGGCAATTTTCAGACACTCCCTGCAGTGGCGATAGCCCGACCTGTCCTTCAGCCTCGGACTTCTGGCGGGTTCTTTCCTGGTGTTAGCCCAGTGCTACTGGGAAAGGAGGCAGTGGTGAGGCTCTAACTTGCAGTGACTCGCACCGTGCTGGGAAAGTCATGTCGGAGCAGCAACGGCAAGGCGCCGAGCGCGACCTCTACCGGGACACGTGGGTGCGCTACCTGGGTGAGCGTGGGATTAAGAGACGCAGCGACCCCACCACTCTGGGAAACAGTAGTCATAGGATGCGGATCTGGAGTCTGAAGGAAAAGGTTGGGCAGGAGATTGGGCTCAGGATAGGGCTAGGGACTTGTCCAAGGTCACACAGCACTCTCTCCGCGGGGCTCTGCTGGAGGCACTAGCCGATGCGTGGTTTTGCCGTCTGCCGTGATGAAGCACTAGCCATGGGGTTAGAGGATCTGGACTCCTACAGCCTGCCATCCCTTGGCGCTTCCTGAGCCTCAGTTTCCTCTTTTGCAAAAAGGGCTGAACAGGAGGCATTGTCGGGTGCTGATTTTAAGAGCTGACTAGCCTGAAAGGCCTTGACACTTGTTAATTGTCAGTGGAGCCCACCGCCGCTCATTGGTGCAGATTCCCAGAACCACAGCTGGGGTCTCTGATCAGTGAGCTATGAACTTCATTGTTGGCATCAGTCCACAACCCAGAAACCAAAAGGTAAAGTCACTTGACTTAGGTCACCTACCCCATTGTAGTTTAGCAGTCTAGGATTAGAAGCAGCTCTCTGTGTAGCGCCCCCTCGTGGAACAGCCCGCGGGCCCGAGAATTAAATGCCTTTTCCCTCCAGGCTATGCTAATGAGGTGGGGGAGGCTTTCCGCTCCCTGGTGCCCAAAGCTGTGGTGTGGCTGAGCTACGGCGTGTCCAGCTCCTACGTGCTTGCTGATGCCATAGACAAAGGCAAGAAGGCAGGAGAGGTAAGTGCTAGTTCACCCTTCCAACCCCATCCTGGTGTGGATCAGTGTGCAGCCCTGTATGTGGGAGAGTCTATCTGCATTAGCATCCTGCGGTCCAGAAGCTAACCCTGTTTGTAGGCTAGTCCATCCCCACCTGACCAACCCACACGGGTTGGGAGTGGCAGTCGGTACTTCTGAATGTAGGCAAGTCATCCTCGACCATGAATGTAGCCCAGAGTTCCCCTCCCAGCTTCCTTCTGCCCTGCTACCCCCTCTCCCTCGTTCCTCCTCCCTGCTCCGCCCTCATGCTTCTGTCTATAAGTTTCCTGCTCCTGCTCCAGCTGGGTTAAATGTCTTTGTATCTACCAGGTGCCAAGCCCTGAAGATGGCCGCGGCACCAGAGTGACCCTGGCTGTGGTCGACACCTTTGTGTGGCAGTCTCTGGCCTCCGTGGCTATCCCAGGCTTCACTATCAACCGTCTGTGTGCTGCCTCTCTCTATGTCCTGGGTTCTATGACCCGCTGGCCCCTGACTGTCCGCAAATGGACCACCACCACACTTGGGCTGCTGGCCATCCCTGTCATCGTCCACCCCATTGACAGGTAGGTGTCTTTGACCTGCAGGTAGAGTTAGGCTTTGAGAGCTGTGGGCAGAACTGCAGCAGCAGAGAGGGCATCTGTACCCTTGTCATAGGACATAGCAGATACCTTGACCATGTGGGTACTGGGAATTGAAATCAGGACCTCTGAAAGAGCAGCCAGTGCGCTTAACCTCTGAACCATCTCTCCAGCTCCCAGAAATACATTTTTAAAAAAGAACTAGATGTATGTATCAATCCAAATAGACCAAGATATAGTATCCTGGAGGAGAGATCTGGGGGTGGGGTGGGGTGGGGTGGGGTGGAGCATTACTGACCCTGAGTTTCACAGTCAGGGTTTTATCCACCTTGCCTCAGTTTCCCCAACTGTGGAAAGAACAGAAAGATGGTTGTTATGCTCAGGGGGTTAGGTTTGACTTTCCTAAGTAGCCCAAGGAGGAGAATGGTAAAATGGGGCCCAACCTGGTTGTTGTTGGTACCCTGTATCTAGGACTCTTTCCCTAAAGTCCAGTGTGTTTCCTCACTCTTGGCTACCTGCTTACCATGTCTTCTCTCCTTGCAGGTCAGTAGACTTCCTCCTGGATTCCAGCCTGCGTAAACTGTACCCATCGGGGAAGCCCAGTTCCTCCTGACCCTGTCCTGTGCCCTGCCCATGACTGGCCCGCTCACATCAGGGAATGTGGACACTTGGCTGTTCGGTGTCCATGACACTGGCATCCAAGCGGGTTCAAACTAATGACGCTTAGAGACAAAAGCCTTGACGAATGTTAGCTGCAGTGAGTCCCAGAGGTGGGACCTGACCCTGTGGTTGTACTGAGTGGGAGTGGATGCTGACTGGGCATGTGTTCTGGAATATTTTTTAAGTATTTATTTTATGTGTCTAAGTTTTAGCTGCATGTATGTATGTTTGTGCACCACCCTTGAAGGGTTAAAGAGGTCACTGGACCACCTGAAACTGGAATTAGGGATGAATGTGAGCCACAGTGTGGGTGCTGGAAACTGAAACTGGTTTCTTTGCAAGAGCAGCCAGTGTGCCTAACCACGGAAATACCTCTCAGCCTCTAGACCTGTCTTCTGATGGAAAAGTTAGACCCTCCCATGGAGGAGAAGGTCACTAAAGCCCAGAGAGGGCACAGGATACTCCTAAAGTCATGGACAGCTGAGGACCAGGCTGTCCAGCTGCTCTAAGTCACTTTGTAGTAATGTGGCTGAGTGACTTAGGGAAGAGCACAGAGCTGCAGCATTTGGGACACTCAGGATAGAGTCTCTGGCCAGCCCATCCCCGCTGCAGAGCTGTTAGGGTCTGGTTGGGAGGCAAGACAATCATACACCAAGTGCTAGCCCAATAAACCCTTAAACAATGGTATCTTCTTTTCTTCATTGGGAAAAGTAGGAATCCAACCACACCAACAGCACCGAGAGAGAAGTGGGCTGATTTCCTGGCTCTACAGGAAGGGGTGTGGGGAGAACAAGGGAGGGATGTCCCCAAGCCCGTTCAAGAGGAATATCAGATCCAAGGAACCAAAAAGGAAGGGAGGGAGGCAGGAAGGGTCTGAAATGAAGGTTTAGGTGGGGAGAAATGTATCAGGGAGTCTGGACTGCATTCTAGACCTTATAAGAAGTGTTGGAAAGTCTTGGAGAAGATGTGGAGAAAGAGGAAGACTTATTTGCTGCTGGTGAGATGGAAATTGGTGTAGCCATTATGGAAGTCAGTACAGAGGCTCCTCAGAAAATGAAAAATAGAATGACTTCATGACCAGCCATACCACTCCTGGGCGGGTGCCCAAAGAACTCTGTCCTCAGACAGGACTTGCACATCCATGCTCATTGCTACCCGGTTCACTCTAGCTAGGAAATGGAACAGCCCACGGGCAGATGAATGGATTATAAAAATGTATTACATAATAGACTTTTATTTAGCTATAAAAATGGCAAGAAGATATAAGGAAAATGGATGGAAGAGCATGCCTGCGTCTTAACTGTTTATGCTGTGAGGTTCCTGTCACAGGCCTTCTCTGGTCCTTAGAATTTAGACCTGGAAAGGAGAGTCATGCCATCTACCCTCCTCCTGGGCTAGTGGGAGGGCCAGAGCAGTGTCGCTGGTCAGTGTTTAACCACTGTCTCCTTTAGGATAGAGAGACTCTATTGCTCAATTCCATGCAAAGATGCACCCATTGTGTCCTCTTTAAGGCCATCCGAGTGAAGCCCTTGAACACAGCCCGAAACAACATCACATTACCTAGGTGACTACCAGAGCAATTCCTTTGAAGGATGCTTCAAACCACAGAAGCCATCAGCCCGACTCTGCTGTGTCTCATTCGGCACATGCACATCCGCGATCACGTTTAATTTATAAATTAGGAACAGGAAGGATGGGGGGGGGGGGGGGGGGCACCAGGCAGCATCTATTCTCCTCATAAAACCCCAGTAACAACCAAAGTTTGTTTCCACTGATGTTCGCCTTGCAAAGTCAATGCTCTCATTAGACTGACTTACAGAGCATGTGTGAGGAGCTGCAAACAGGAGCGTGGCTGACCCTAAAGCTGCCACACAAGAAGGCCCACACCCATGACGATGATGGCTTCCCCTTGGCTGTATGAGGTCCCCTCCCTAGACCTGCCTCTCCTAGATACTTCTAGCCCTTCCTTGAACAGACTTGCGCGCACTCCTGGCTGAGAGGAGTGGCTGGACACTGCCCTGTGATAAAAGGTAAATGTCAACAAAGTCCAGTTGTTATCTTTTGTAAGCAGCCGCCACCAAACTCCTAGGGTGGGGGCAGTTTGGCCCTTAGGAGAGTCCTGAACAACAGACCCCAAGGACAATAATAAGCTACAACAATTATAACCACATACTAGAGTAAGAGCTTTTCCAAACTTGCAAACCGATTGTTTCTGGAGTTTTTCCATTAGTGCTTGGGCTGCAACTGACTGCAGGTAATTGCTGCATAGAAAGGAAAACCACGGACGAGGCTGATGACGGTGGATAGAAATAACCTCAGCAGGGGCTGAAGAGGATGGCTCAGCGCGTAAAAGCCTTTGGAATTGGTGCACTGCAGATTGTCCTGAGATCCACCAGTGTTCAAATCTGAGGTAATTGCTTCTGGATGCTTGGCCTTAACATTGTGCAATAATGTGCAATAAAGTCAAGGGCAATGGCTTCACAAGCAATAGGGGAAATGAAAGGACAGATTGAGAAAGGCTCATAAGAAAGACACCTATAGCCAGGTGTGGTGGTCCACACCTTTATCTGAGCACTGTGGTGGGCAGAGATAGGTGGATCTCTGAGTTCAAGGCTAACCTGGTCTACACAGAGTCCTGGCTAGCCAGGGCCACATAATGAGGTCCTGTCTCAAACAAAACAAAAACAGCAAAGAAATCTACCTCTAGAACCCTGCTATCTTCAGGCTCTCCAGATTGGTACAACTGGTGGCAATCTCAGAGTCACCTGGAATGACATCCAAGTTTGATAGAGAAGGATGACCCACAGGAGTGGCATGGCTGGCCTTGAGCATTGTCCAACACTGCAGTCGAGCTTCGGATCTGCTCTTGGCTGTTCTGCCTGAGCCCCTGTGTGAAGGTTGAGCTTTCAGTGTTGCTGCCACTCTGCCCTGTCCTGTTCTAATGCCCATTCTTGGGCTTCACAACAGCTAATGAAAATGTGTATAGGAGTCAGCACTCACCTCCCCAACTTGCAGCCTGAGTGACTTCTAGACCTTCAGTCACTTCTAGAAACCTCTGGATACAGCTATTGTTGCAGCAGGTCTGTCCCTCCCTGACCTCTGCACTGGAGAACATGGCTTTCTGGTGCTCCAGTGGTCTGGGAAAGGCTACAGGGAGCCTGCTTCTGCATCAAGGCATGGCCGCTCTTTTTTGTATTCAGTGTGATCAGTAGTCACGAGACAACAGAAGGTGTGTGGATGCATGATCGTGTCACAGCTGGATTAGTTGCTTCTGCACTGGTGTGACTGCAACATCAGACATAAGAAAGAAGACTTATTTGGCTCATGGTTCCAGAGGGTTTTAGCCTATCATGGCAGGGGAGGCTGTGGGAACATGATAGACTCCTCTCGCCACAATGGATCAAAAGGCAGAGAGAATGTGGGGCAAGAGGCAGGGCTCAGGCATAATCATCAGGCAGGCCCTGCCTCCTAAAGGTACCAATATAGGACTGGGGGACAAGCATCCAAACATGAGCCTGTGGGGGACACTTCAGATTCAAACCATCACAGTGCCACTTTCTATAGGGGACTTGAGTGTTTTCTAATTTTAATATCATAGCGATGGCATCCTGAAGCCCATCCTCTGTGGATGCCAAGGGATGGCACTACTGGGCTTCAACCTATGTGACTTAAATTCTTCATCTGTGAAGTGGATCTGCTTGTGGCTGTTGCAGAGAACTTTAGGAAAGGGTTATTAGGAGAGTTAAACAGAACAATAGACACCCCAAGCTGGCAATAAAAATGAGCATTTCTTAACAACCTAGTGAGTAACAGTTGGTTACTCTCCTTGACTGTAAGGAGACCCTAAGAATTACACAGCTTCCGATCTCTTGAGTTTAAAAACTTGAACCAGGCATGGTGACTCAAGCCTTTAATCCTAGCACTCAGGAGGCAGAGGCAGATGCATCTGAGGCTTTCCTGATCTACAAAGCAAAAAGAAGAAGGAGAAGGAGAAAATTAAAACTTATAGTTAGCCTGCCTTGGCTTCTAGAGCCCCTCTTCTGCCTTACCGGTGGTCATGGGACTCCAAAAGGGCTCTGATAATCCAGACGTAGATACAAGTTGCTTCTCCGTAATGAGGTTTCCTCCCTGGCAGAACTAGGCTGTGAGGGCCCAGGCCAGGGCTTGGTGGCACCTGATTTGTGGCTTCAGGTAGAGCCAAGGAAGGGAGCTAAGGTCTGTCTCAGCTCCTTGCTTCTTCATTGCAGTGTTTGCTTCCAAAGATGGGCTGGGGAGTTACCTAGCAAACAAGCTGTTCTTTTTATCCCAGAAGCTGCTTGGGTTTTGTTGTTGTTGTTGTTTTGACAAGGTTTCTCTGTGTAGCCTTGGCTGTCCTGGGGCTTGCTCTGTAGACCAAGGCAGCATCAAATTCACAGAGATCTGTCTGCCTCTGCTGCCTCCCGAGTACTAGGATTAAAGACATGCACTACCACCACCCCGCTCTCTCTGCAAGACTCTTAAGGTCTTCTCAAGGCAGGACACTTGTTTGATTCAGGGTAGTCCGTGTGGCTCCTTGAGGCTCCCATGGGATATGACCAACATGGTACCGTTCCAAAGGAATTGATGTGGTAGGAAGAGCGTAAGGTCCACCCCAAAGCAGGCTAACAGGGCCTATGGGGGACCCCAGGCATCTTCAGGGGAGAGTGTTGGCAGGAGGCTACAGTGAGTAGGTATGGCCAGGCAGCCCTCAGGCCTTATGGCTTTTGTCCTAGAACATCCTGGCAGTTGGGTCTCCAAGCAAGCCCTGGCTAGTTTTAGGGAACACTCAAAATCTCCACCAGGGGGCAGCATGACTCAACATGCCCTTGTTGACTGGTCAGACTGGTCATTGTTTTCTTATTTCTCAAATTTCTCAGTGGCCCCATTTCTCCTAGTGGCTCCAGAGACCCAGCCCTTCATATGATAAGGGTCTCGATAGGATTGCCATGTAGTCCAGGATGGCCTGGGACTTATTTTGTAATCTAGACTGGCTTCACACCTGCTGATCTTCATGTCTCAGCCACACTGTGTTCTTTGGGTGAACTTATTCCTTTTTTATTCCACCCTCTCTCCTCAATTCTTTTTATCCTTCTCGCTTCTTTTTAAAAATATTTTTGTCTGTGAGCACATAGGTGCAGTGCCGATAGAGGCCAGAAGAGGGCACTGGATCCCCTGGAGCTGAAGTAACAGGTGTTTGTTTTGTGAGCTGGGAGCTATGACAGGGCCAACACGCTCATCAACTCACAGCAGCTGTGGTCGCCAGTGCACCATCAAATCAGGCAGTACTCCAGGACGTAAAGGGAAGGGGCTCATGAGGCCCTCCCTGAGCTGAAGAGCTATCGGTAGCTGAGAACCTCTGGAAGGGAGAGTCTATCTTCTTCAACAGTGACCCATGGCAGTTGCCCATGCTACAGCGGCTGAAGCCCAATTGCCATGAGCGTTGGGCGGCACTAACTGGACTCAGTGCGTTAGAAACACAGATGAAGATGAAGTTGGGAAGATTGTACCTGGGGGATTCTGGGAGCAGTTGGAGTGGGAGAATGAGGAACAAATGTGATGTAAACACTTGGTGTTTGCGTGTGAAATGACCACGGAACAGTAAATATGTTTGAAAAGATATGGGATGCTCAGTTAGACTTTAATGCTAGATAATGATTACATTTTAGGTACCATCCAATATCACCCTTTTATTCTTTCAGAGTCTGACAACTTTTTCTTCTTCACCTTTCCTTCCCTCTTTTTTGATTCCAGGTACTTTCCCCTCCCCTGCCTACTCAAGAAGGAGGGGCAGTCTTAGCCCGTTTAGAATTTCACTCAGGAACCTGGAGTGTCATAAAGTGGACACCTTGGCTCTGGTCCAATTCCACCATCCACAGACTGAAGAAAATGGGTCCAGTGCTGTTGGAAGCTCAGTTCCTGTCCTGGCTAGTGTTATGTCACCATGACACAAGCTAGAGTCATCTGAGAGGAGGGAGCCTCAGTTGAGAAAATACCACCATAAGATGGGGCTGTGAGGCATTTTCTCAATTAGTGATCAATGGGAGAAGACCCAGCTCGTGGTGGGTGGTGCCCTTCCTGGCCAGGTGGTCCTGGGTTCTATTTAAAAAAAGTGGACTGATCAAGCCATGGGTAACAAGTCAGTAAGCAGCACCCCTCCATGGCCTCTGCATCAGCTCCTGCCTCCAGGTTTCTGCCTTCTGTGAGTTCCTGCCCTCATTGCTTTTGATGAACTGTTAAGTGGAACTGGGAGTGAAATAAACCTTTTCCTTCTCAAGTTGCTTTTGGTCATGGTGTTTCATCCCAGCAATAGAAACCCTAAAACAGTTCCCATCTATAAGATGGGCATAAGAGCCTGTGCCCTTAAATGTGTGCATGGCTCTGCTCCCCTCCACAGAATAACATTAGCTTGGTGGGTCAGGCCTCACACTCACTTCCCACTCATTCTCATGGTGCATCTTATGGCACCAGCAGGGCAGCTGGGTTCTGGCCCATGCTCATTCTATGAACTAGTCATCTCTTGGCAAGAGTTGCACCAGGAGCTGGGCACTCAAGTCGGTGTCTATGTACCATGCACGGGACAAGAAGCTGAGAAAGAAACTGGAAGCCTTGTTCCAGCTCCCTGGGGCTGTGGTGAGCATTATGTGGTCCTTCATATAGACACAGCGTGAGCAGAGGACAGAACACCAGGCCCAGAAGTGCAAGCCCCTTCCAGCCCTCTGGGAGACCCTTTGAACAATCTGCTTAAGCAATGTGGCTCTTGATTACTCGGGCTGTCCAATCGGGGTGATTACCTCTTTCATCTACAAAAAGGTACTGGAAGGGTGTGGTTACCCAGTACACTCTACTAAGGATGCAAGGCAATCAAACCATTTCTTTTCTCCTTGTAAGAGCATGGTCTTTTGATGGGGCATCATGGGGCAGTTTAGAGCAATACCTTCTGACTAAATAAACAAATACTCAGGTCCTAGATCTGCTGCTTAAGACTATACGACACAGAGTGGCTAGTTCAGCCTCTCCGAGCCCAGTTTCTTCATTCATAAAGTGGCTTTAATAAGGTGTATTGGGGAGGTGTGAGGATGGCATGAGCTAAACTTGTAAAGTACTTGGACGTGACACTCCTCACCAAACAACAGCTGTCGTTATTGCTTTGCCCAGCAGCAGAGAGAGTTGGTTGTGACATCTTTTGCTTTGGGGAAAATTATTTTAATTGTTGAAAATGTGAGCTGTGAGCTCAAAAGGATGGAGGTATTTATGGGAATAATGGGTGAGACCCGTGCCCCTGGGTCAGGCAAAGTCAGGAGTAGGCGCCTCCTGCCAGAGGTGAGGAGCTTTTGTGTCTGAAACTCCCAAAAGGAAACCGCAGTCAGGCTGCACGGCCCGGGTCGTTGTCAAGTGTGGATCTGTCCGGGGTGCTGAAATCTGCTGTTGGGTCTCTTTATGATTCCCTGCTGGTCCTTGATTTAACCTACAGGAATACACTAAGAGCCTACTATATAGTGAGTGGAAGTGAAAAGGGTTCAGATAATCTTCAGCTTGAGTTGCTTACAGCTCACAGGGAGGGAGTCAAGCACAACTATCTTAGGATAGATGAAGTCAAGCAGAGTCATTACCCTATTTCTGGACCTCAGTGACATTCTCTCTCTGCTCGCTGGTGTCACACAGTCAGTCGGACTAATGATCAGTTGTAGGAATGAAAGGGAGAGTAGAGAGAAAACTGAGGTTCGGGGTCTCTGGGAAGCAGGGCATCCGCCTAGATAGGGGTGAGCTCCTCATCGTATTTCTGCATGCCCTCGTCTGGGAGAAGCACTTCCACCGTGAAGCTGACTTTCTTGGCATGCACAAAGCTATAGGTATTGTCAAAGCGCAGGACATCTAGGAGACAAATGGAAGATTAGTTCCCACTGGCTATGCCTGCCAAACTGGTATGACTTCCCACCTCCCACCACAGCTTTTACATCCCCATGGGACCCTGGGCAGAGTCTGTAAGCAGACGCTACCTCCTCCTGGCATTCACCCACACCGGGCTTTAGTTTCCTCAAAGGACAGTGAGAACAATGGGTGTTAATTACCCATTGTCTTCACATCTGCACATGCACGTGGTGAGACGTGAGAGCAACAGAGGCTTTTCAGCCCTCCAGGACAAAGAGGGGGCTGGGCATAGCCCGAGGTAATGGTCTTAATCCTCAGACCCTGGGTGATCCAGCAAATAATCCTTCCCAGACTGGGCAGAATTTGGCACTTGTACACCCACACTGAGGCTGAGGAAACATGGCATCCTGCTTTGAGGCTGTGTGTAAGTTGGTTTACTTCTCACGGCCTCAAACGGGGAAAGAAAACCATGCCCTATTATCCTTTGCTTGTGTCCTGTGGCCCAAGAACTCCCCATCCCTCAGGGCCCATGTGTCTCTGACCCTTGGTGCACATGAGGTGTCGGTGAATACGGCTTGAGAATGAAGGAAGGCTCTAACCTGGACTGTATGCCCTGATATGTGTGTGGGGAAGGGGACCACTGCCCATGCGGAAGGTGGCTCCTGTCTTCAGAGCTCGTGCAAGGCTGGGGTGGACTTACAGACGCCAGCCTCTGAGCAGGTGAGGCTCCCGTCCTCAGGTACCATGTGGGCATTGTAGCGCTGGCTGGTTAGCACCTCAGTCATCTCCCCGGCCTTCTGCCTCTCCCCCATCTTGGTCTTGAGGAAAACTCCGAAGCCAATGTCTGCACCATCAGATGAGAACTGCCACCTGTGAGAAGTCAGGTCTCTGCTCAGTGTGATGGATCCCTGAGGGATCAGAACCCAGCCAGGGGAGGAGCAATGATCTGTCCCTACCTGAGGACACAGCCTGGAAACAGGATCTCATATTCCACCTGGTGTGAGGAGCCACGGCTAATCTGCACCGAGTGCTCATACTGAGTCTTCACCTGGTCCCGCACGTACATGGACTTGGGAATCTCCCCACCATAGTTGATCTAGAATAGATTCTGGGATCGTTTCTTTCTTTTCTTTTCTTTTTTAAATTTTATTTATTATGTACACAGTGTTCTGTCTCCATGTATGCCTGCAGGCCAGAAGAGGGCACCAGATCTCATTGTAGATGGCTGTGAGCCACCACGTGGTTTCTGGGAATTGAACTTGGGACCTCTGGAAGAGCAAGCAGTCAGCATTCTTAACCTCTGAGCCATCTCTTCAGCCCCCTCTGGGGTTATTTCTTGTACCAGAGATACTTATTATCATCACTGGGAAGATTTCTGCTCCCCTTCCCCAAACCCCTTCCTGACTCTCTAGGCTGGGCAGCACTTCCTCTGGAAGCTTCTTCTTCCAGCTTATTCCCAAATCAAAACTCCATTTCACCTTTCTCTGTGTATCTTCTCAGTAGCTACCACGAGTCCTAATAAGCTGGATCTCCCCCGCCCCCCACTAGCTCAATACCTGGTCTCTATACCCAGGGGTCTGCCTGGATACGTTTGTGGAATGAATAGGTGGATGGGAAAGTAACCCATCTCTACTCTTCCAACCCTTTCCTGTCCTCAGACTTTGTGTACCTTGGTCAAACATTTGGGGTTCCCATCTGGGTCAGTCAGAGTTCCCCCAAAATGAGCAGGCAGCTCCTCAGGACTGATGAGTTTCAGCAGGCCTTCTTTCCAGCTGTCTGGGTGGAGGGAGGTGAATGGTGGTTATCACACATGGAAGGACCAAACAGTCCTCCACACCTGCCAAGATACCCTGAGAGTTAGGCTGTCAGGGATAACTGCCAGGTCTCCTTGACCCATTGTGGCGGTGGAACATTATTTCTCTCCAGTGGGAAATGGGAAATATCACTGGGAATGGGAAACCCCTGGAATGCTAGGGCTAAATGTACTGAGCCTTGTAGGGCACCCAGGGGAGTAAAGGGCATAGACTTGGGTTCTTATTGTACCAGGATTTGGTGCCTCCCCACAACCAGGCTATCTTGTCATCTGTCAAGCTCTCCTTTATAGTGAAACCAGGTAGAGGTAGGAGCTGGGGTATTGGGAAGAAAGAGACATTGAAGAACATAAGACCCCCACCCCCACTTCTAGATCCTCGGCTCACATAAGTAGATGATTTGAACATTCTGCTTGGGAGATGGTTTTCCTCCAAGCTCAGGCTCACTGATTTGTGCTAGAGAATTAGTGTTTTTTTTTTTTCCATTTTATCCTATCCTATCTGTCTGTCTGTCTATCTGTCTATCTACTTATTTCAGCATGCAATGGATGGAACTCAGGGTCTCATATATGCTGGGCAAATCCTTGGTGCCCGAGCTACACTCACAACCCACTTCTGCCACTTTTAAAAGCAACTCTTGTCAGAGCAATGGCATACAATGGTGGTCTCTGCATTTATGACACTGAGGCAGGAGGATGGTGAATTTGGGGCCACTTTGTCTCAAAAAACAAAATAAAAATAAATAAAAAGTAATTATTTTTCTTATTTATAGTAATATGAGAAAACATAAAATTGAGAAAACAGGAAAATTCAAACAATACCTTTTTTTGTTTTTTTGTTTGTTTTTGTTTTTCGAGACAGGGTTTTCTCTGTAGCTTTGGAGCCTGTCCTGGAACTAGCTCTTGTAGACCAGGCTGGCCTCGAACTCACAGAGATCCGTCTGCCTCTGCCTCCCGAGTGCTGGGATTAAAGGCGTGCGCCACCAATGCCTGGCATACAAACAATACTTTCACAAGCATGATCTATTCTGTTGGTATTTCCTTCTAAAAATTTCTGCTTGTTTTGCATATAATTGTTTTATTTTTTAATTATATTTATTTATTTATTTTGTGTATGGAGGGGTCACATATCACAGCATACATGTGGATGTAAGAGAATTCTCCTTCTACTGTGTGGATTCTGGGATGGCTGGCCCTCAGGTCTTTAACCTGGGGGCAGCTGAACCATCACTCTGGTCCAGTACAATTTAGAAAAACAAATTATATTGTCCATATGGTTTGTGTGTAGGTGCACATGTGTGTGTACGTGGACAGGCACGTATGTGCACCTTCGTGGAGGTCAGAGGGAAATCTATGGCAACATTCTTTAGGGCCTGTCTACTTTGATTTTTTGTTTTGCTTTGTTTTTTGAGACAAGTCTCTCATTGGCCTAATATCACCAATCAGGCTAGGCTTCTGGCCGGTGAGCTCTTGGGATCTTTCTGTCTCCACATCCCCAGTGCTGGGATTACCGAGTGTGTGCTAACACACTCAGGTTTTTCTTTGTACCATGAATTCTGAGGCTAGAACTTAGTGTACTGTACTTCAAGGTACGCAATCAGTGACTAGGCCTTCTCTATTCATCATATGTATGGCTTTCTGATCTGCTTCCATTTTTTCCCCACTTGACAATATTTCTTTTGTCACTATTCAGTTGTGAATTTCTGGGTAGGATGGTTCACTCTTGTATCAACTGTTCAGGATCAGGAGTTCAAGGTTCTCTTTGGTTACTTACTGAGTCTGAAGTCAGCATGAGCTGCACAATGCCCTGCCTCAAAGAACAAAACAAAACAACAAAAAGCAATATCGTCCCGCATCACAGCTCCTGCAGCTGCCCAGAGTTCACCGAACGATGTGTCTATCTGCACCTGTCCAGACCTCTGTGTCAGACTCCCTTCTCCGAGCTGTCATTAGAAGCACTGGATGGATGTGCAGGTGCAGAAGCGAAGCCAGGGCGTGTAGAACCAAGGTTGAGAAGCAACAGAGCAGAAACTTACAGGGGCAGGGGACACTCACCTGAGGACTAAGTCAGGGAATAGGGCCTAGGAAATGACTTGACCCGTTAGGAGCCCCATCTCACCATGGGGAAGGAGCCTGTGACTGCAGCTACATGCTAAGTGCTGGCAGGGATGACGGACCACCATCACTCTAAAGCTTATGTGTGAGGCACAGGGACAGGGGCCCTGGGACAACTTACTTCCCAACACCACAATTTTCCTCCGTGTGTCCTCACTCAGGAATGGCTTCATGAGGTTGTAGCCCACAGGGAACAGTTTGGTAGCTGGAAAGACATAAGAAGAAGAAGAGGAGAAATCAAGCCACGGAGCCACTTTTCCACAATGTACATGGCCAGTGATACAAAATCATAAAGGACCTCTTCCAGCCCAGACTCTGACCCAGTCACCCAAGAAATAGCCAACTAACCATCCATCCAACCGTCACCTTTCCGCCCCACAAATAAACCAGTCACCAGCCTCTTCATCACCCAGCCAATAAGTTAACTTGCCTGCTAACAAATAAATAATCCACCAACTCACCAAACAGAAAATCAATTGGCTGGTCTGCTGACCAACCAGTTGGACAGCTAATTAACGGCTCGCTCCAGCTACCAACCATTCACACAAAGAGTCAGCGATCCCAATAACCAGCTGACAATGCAAATTCAGCTGAAGAACAAACCAGCCAGCCAATCAACCAATGTGCCAGGCATCCACCCAAGCATCCAGTCACCAAAATGATAGCCATACAATCAGCCAAGCTCAAAGTCAGTCAATCAGTCAGTCAGCCCAGTCAACTCTCCAATCCGTCACTAGTTACTTGGCTAGTTAGCCAACCAACTAGTAAATCAACTGGACAACTAACCAAACAATGAGTTACCTGATGTGGGATTCCCCTCTGTATGCTATTAACATGTTTTATTACCAATGGTTAATAAAGAAGCTGCTTTCAGCCAATGGTTTAACAGAGTAAAGTCAGGGAGAAAATTCAAACAGAGATACAGAGAGAGTAAACAGAGTCAGAGAGATGCCATGTAGCCACTGGAGGAGAAAGATGTGAGCCGCCAGCCGGAACCTTACCAGTAAACCCCAAGCCTCATGATAAAATATAAAATAACAGAAATGTGTTAATTTAAGATATAAGAGCTAGCTAAAAATATGCTTAAGCTATTGGCCAAGCAATGTTTTAATTAAAACAATTTCTGTGTGATTATTTTGGGTCTAGATGGTCGGGAACAAACTAGCAGCCTCCACCAACAGTTACAAACAAGCCATCCTTCTACCTACCTACCTACCTACCTACCTACCCAAGGAATAGCCACTTAAATGGCTAGTGAGCACCTGGGACATACACCTCAGGCATAGGCTTAGAGCCCTTCATAGGGTAGATAACTTGCTCAGAAAAACACAGTGAGCTGGGTGGTGATGGCACTTGTCTTTAGTCCCAGCACGCGGGAGGCAGAGGCAGGTGGATCTCTGTAAATTCGAGGTCAATCTGGTCTACAGAATGAGTTTCAGGATAGTCAGAGCTACAAGTCAGATTCTGTCTCAAACAAACAAACAAACAAACAAAATCCCCCCCCCCAAAAAAAAAAGAAAAGAAAGAAAGAAAATCAGAATGGAGGATAGACCTGGTGGTGCAGGCATGTAATCTCACATATTATAAAGGCTGAGGCAGGAAGACTGCAAGTGTAAGGTCTATGTGAGCTGCAGAGTGAGTTCAAGGCCAGCCTGGGCAGCATAGAGCCAGAGACAGTCTGAGGAGGGAGAGAGGATCATGGGTGGGAGAGGGGAAGAGGAGCTAGTGACACTAGGTGCTACCATTGCCTGAGCCTTCCTCTGTGTCAGAGTCAAGCGGTTGGCATGCAGTCAGCAAACAAACCTTCCCACAACAGCCCCGGGGAAGGCACTGAGCTCCAAGAGGGAATGGCAAGGCTGTGGAGGCCCAGTTAGGGGCAGTCACTTCTCACTCACCCTTCACAATGAGCATGAACTTCAAGGTCTCTGGGTAATTCTCTTCAAGGAGGCCAAAGAACTGTGGAACCAAGAAAACCCTCTCAGAGCCCACATCTTCTCCCCCCCCCCCCTGGCATCTCCTGCCTGGGGGGTTTCCTTTTCGGTATCACCTCCATTGGCCTCTTAAGGGAACCTTTTCACTCAGACTGTGAGAGCCAAATGCTCATAGGAACCACATCATCATTTAAACAGCAGAAGAAAACCATGTGAGGACACACACGTCAGATGTTCAGTGTCGCCCGGCACTGTGCACATGCTTTACAGACTCATCGAGTTTCCTGGTCTCACTGCCCCCGTTCTGGATGTGAGGAGCCTGAAGCATATTGGGGGCCCAGGGCAGAGCGGGGTGTGTGTGACTTGCCAAGGGACTGACAGATCTGGGACTGTCTGTGGAAACAGGCCCTGTGCTCTCCTAAGGTCTACTCTGTGGACTTTCTAGGAGTCCTACTAAGGTTTCCTTGGTGGGCGGGGCCTAGGGAGAAAAATCACCTTTTATTAATTTGTGTTCTAAGTAAATTGCAAGGTCAAAGCAGGCCAAGCATGTCACCCAAGTGTGTGTGTGTGTGTGTGTGTGTGTGTGTGTGTGTGTGTGTGTGCGCGCTCGTGCGCGTGTGTGCACACATCCACCACTGGGCTTCCTCACCTCCTGGTACACTTCCACCAGAGGTTTCCAGAAGTGCTTCAGTCCCAGACCCTCACAGTCGAATATCATCACAATGGTCTCAATCTTCCTCCCCAGCTGTGAGGATGAGCAAGGGACAGAGCCAGGGTCAAAGTGTAGGCTTGGGAACTGGTCACCCAAGTATATGACCCTCAGGGAGCTTTCAACCCTCCACTTTGTCTTCAGAGTAGCAAGTGAACAAGAATAAACACATTTCCCCATTCATCTACCCACCCATCCTCCTATCCATCTACCCATCCGTTCATCCATCCACTCATCCATTTATCCACCCATCCACCTATCCACCCCACCCACCCACCCATCCATCTATTCACCCACCCATCCATTTATCCACCCTTTCTTCCTTCCTTCTTTCCTTCCTTCCTTCCTTCTTTCCTTCCTTCCTTCCTTCCACCCATCCTTTCACTGACAATAGCTTGACTTAATACTTTTTTAAAAAAATTATAATGTGTGAAGCAACACACATTCAGTCAACTCCTTAGTCTGAATGATGAATTTTGATTTTTTTTCCTGGTCTAACAATATCAGGATGATGTTGTCTTCTGGTGTCCATCTGTGGTTTAATGAAAATACTCTGTGCACATTTGAGGCAGGCTAGTCTACGCTATGATGCTGAGTGGGTCAAAAGTGTTAGCTTTATCTCCAACTAATGTTATTTTAAACTTAGAATTTTTATTTATTAGGTTTATTAGGGTGGACCCCCATCATCAGCTGGAGAACATCTTCACTGTCATCATCCCTCATTCTTTGCAGACTATGCTGCCAAGGGTGAGGAGACAGGCTCAGCGAGGTCGGAAACTTCCCAGATTAACAAAGCTGATAAGCAGCGGAGCTTTCTGACCTGAGAGTCCTCTGACCATGACAGTAGAGAGAACACTGGTGCGTTCTCCTGCTTTCAGTCACCCATCCTAATCGATCAGAACCTCACCCGCTCTGTCTGCAGGTCACACTCGTGCAGGATGCGCTCACAGTCCCTCATCTTGGTCTTCAACAGGTCCTGCTTGGTGACTGAGAAAAGCAACCCTTTGGGGTCCAGTGGCCCGATGATGTCATACCATACAGGGCAGCCGTCGCGGTCATAGCCACACAGGCCGCCAGGCATGTACTTCTGGATCACCTGGGCATGGAAAGATACATGACACTTGGCATCATACACCTCTCTGGGGACCCCAGATATGACTAACTTATCAGGTCCAAGTCTGTCTATACCCTGTCATGGGACAAAACATTGGCCTACCCTGCCCCATGTGAGAAAATTGAGGGTCTTGCAAGGGAGGGCCTTGTTCACAGTTGTGAATATGAAAGCCCAGTACCAGCCCGGCCTGACTTCAGGCTTCTGGGCTCATTGGTCCTGTCTGCAGTGCCTTCCACATCTTGTTTAGTGATAGAGGATGTCAGTTCTGAAGGTCAGCAGATCTGATTCAAACACGGACACTGCTGTTTCTCTGTTCCATGTCCTAGAGCAAGCGATGCCACCTCTCTGAGCTCCATCTCACCTCCTCTTGCATAAGACGGTTCAGATCCTTGCTCTCTGATAAATGCTGGCAAACACGGCGTACTGTCCACAGCTATGAGATCATGTTACTGTGACCCCAGTGTGGGTACCACTCTTACCAGTCCCTTGATGGATTGTTGCTTTCTCACCTGGACAGGATGCTTTGAAACTCTGAAGTGGGTGGAGGCACAGAGGGACTGACTGGCCACAGTGCCTCAGGTACAAGTTTGAGAGCCCAAGCAGGACTAAGTTCAAACCCCAGCCTCACTATGGGACTGTGGGACTTTGGGCAAGTTGCCGGATTTTTGCTGGATGCAAGGGATGATAACGCCTGTCTCATAGTGTTCAGGTGATTAAATGAACTCATACTGGGACTTATTATTATTATTATTATCATTTTGATTTTTCATAACGGAATTTCTCTGTGTATCTCAGGCTGTCCTGAAACTCGCTCTGTAGACCAGGCTGGCCTCAAATCCACCTGCCTCTGCCTCCCAAGTGCTGAGTATCTGCCATCATGCCCAGCCAATGTTAGAACTCTTGACACAGGGATTTTTGTTACTTTTATAGAAAAGGCCCTGTGGGGTTAATGGCTTCCAAGGGCATCTCTGCTTGCTGACCTTCCCTCATGGTCTCCAGTGACCAGAGGCTGCTTGGGTGTTTGAGGCTGGGGGCTCACCTCTGGGGGCTGCCAATCAAGGATGTGGTCAATATCCATGGTCTTCCGAAACTCCATGTACTGAAAATAAAAGAGATGGTGAGGACCCATGGGGCTCCCAGCTCCCTGAACAGGGTACGAAAGTAGGGGTATGAGGCATTGATTTTCCCCACTCCGCCTCCCATATATAAATACCATCTCCAAATTCTCGGGCTGATGCTTTACCTTGCGAAGCATGGCCTCTGATTTCTGCAAGTCAAAGCTGCGAGCTAAGGAAAGACAGGGAAAGGGAAGATGGGACAGGGCTGCGTTGCTTTGCCCCTAACAAGTAAAAGCAATGGGGGACCCTAGGAATTTGATGGGAACCTGCCTCTCCCTCCACTCTCCTAGACCTGAACATGTAAAACAAGGTGGTGTGATCAGATCCTGAGAGCCATGGATTGTGATGGAGCTGTGGGGACCCAGGCCCTCTTGCTGCCCCCTCATCTTCAATCTTCCCTTCTCTCCTCTCACCTCGGAGCCAACGAAGAAGAAAGTAATCATCAGGGTTGGGCAGGGCAGGCAGCACATCCTGGACGTTTTCTCGGAACTGGAAAGAAAGATGCCTGTTGATGAGTTTCTCACACCGAGCCTTGGCCTCTCCACTCCAAGATTCGGTAATCACCTCTCCTTTGCTCTCTCCCTCAGCCTGACAGTGGTGTGAGTGGGTGAGTGTGTGGACAAGGGCAAAATGGAGGGCAAAATGGAGGGTGGAAAGAAAAAATGAAGGATCAATTGATCAATGGATGGATGGATCTATGTATAGGCAGGCAAGTGAAGAAAAGGAGAGATGGGCGGTGAACAGGACAGAGAAATGGGGGGTGGAAGGAGGAATAGATGAGTGGGCGGGCAGGTGAGTAAAGGGGACAGTGTGTGTTTTCCTAGCTCCCCTTGTGCATTCACTCCTCTTCCCACGTGGATTTGAAGGAAGAAAAGGTTCATAATCAAGCGTCCTCTTCCCTTCAGCCGTGGGCATACCAACGCTGTCTGTCTGTCTCTCGGATCTGGATCCTACGGACTGGCTTTCCTTCAGGAAAGGAGAATCCACCAGAGGACAGACAGCTGCATGCTCCAGCTCCCACCCGGGGCCAGGGAGGGAGGAGGTGGGGGGGGGAGGGGCAACTGCCAGGCAGAGCACTCTCTGGGTCTGGCTCTTGGGCAAGTTCAAGTTTACTTCTGTACATGTCTGCTCTGACAGGACTGATGTCACAGAACTGTGTAAGATGTGATCCCTTAAGAGGTGACGGCAAAGAGACAATGTCAAGGACATGCAGAGTCAACAGATGGAGGCAGGGTCCAGGGATCCTTTCTGCCTCACTCTCAGCCATTTCCCTCTGAGGTCCGACGGGGGGTTGGGGAGCATCTCTTCTTACCTTGGCCAGGGTCTCTGCCTGTTTGGGGCTCAGGTCTCCAACTCGGCCACTCATGGTGCTGGCTGAGACTGAGGAGCAGTGACCACTGCAGAGAGAGGCCCAGCTTCCTCTGTCTGTCCAGACCCAACTGGAGCCTTTTGCCCGCACTTCTGGGTGTGGTTCAGGCACCTCCTTCAGGCCAATTCTTTAGATTGGACATTACATAACTGGGATTAAGTGAGGTCCCATGCTTGGCTCTGGGACAGGTCTGGAGCAAACAGCAAGCCCAGAGGGTCTGCCAGGCCCTCTGCCAGATGAGGTAGCTGGGAAGGAAGGAGTCTGGCCTTCTCTGTGAGCCCCCCTCAGTGCTCTCTGGCCTCCAGTGACCACTGTCCTGGAGAAGGGGAAGTCCCATGGAGGATGAGCCCCACTCTTCAGAGGTACACCATTTCCCTAAGCCTTAGTCTCCTCATGAAGGAGTTCCCCAAAGCCTCCACTGGCTCCTGCAGGGTGGAAGTCTGAGGCCCTGCAGCCTACTGAGCAGCCCTGTGCTGTGTTCAGATTCAGGAGATGCTCACACCCCTCAGCTGCAGCAAACACTCTGAGTCAAGAGACAGACAGTCTGTGGGATGGGATGCAGTACTGGGTAGAGCTTGCCTAGTGTGTCTACAGCCTTGGGTTCGATTCCCGGTGCTGCAAAAAGAAGAGAAGACAGGCTGCTGGAGACAGAAGACAGAACTCAAAGGTCTATGGTGCAGGCTGGTCTTTCCATAGGGCCGATGCTACCTTTCCTGATGTCTTTCAAATTCTGTTGCGAGGAACTGGTCTTATAGACTTGAACACAGGAAAGACTAGGCACCCTCCCCCTGTGTCTACCCAGAACCCCATGTGTGGGGCCTCTGGTTCTGCACAGCTCCCATTAGTACTGAGGGTTCCGATGGGTCAGGAGCATGGCCTTGGGGGCAAGGATGCCTTTGGGGGATTTTCATATATAGCCGGGAAGAAGTATCTACCTGGGGTGAATAAGCTGGTGGGCCATCCACAGTTGGTGCGCAGGGAAGCCCAGAAGTTCCCTGTGTCCTTCGCTTTCTGTCCCTTTCTGCATTCTACCACCAGACGGGCCTGAGGCCAGCCCTGCTCTAGATTTCCTTGTAACACTTTTCATCCCAGTGTTTCCTGGGGCCCCTCATCTCTGGCAGAGGGACCAGCTCTGCCCAGTGTTCCTGGGCCCCTCATCTCTGGCAGAGGGACCAGCTCTGCCCAGTATTCCTGGGGCCCTCATCTCTGGCAGAGGGACCAGCTCTGCCCAGTGTTCCTGGGCCCCTCATCTCTGGCAGAGGGACCAGCTCTGCCCAGTGTTCCTGGGCCCCTCATCTCTGGCAGAGGGACCAGCTCTGTCCAGTATTCCTGGGGCCCCTCATCTCTGGCAGAGGGACCAGCTCTGCCCCCTTATACGGATGAAAGCACTAGCTGCCTGGGTTTTTGTGCATTGCTAGGGGATTGCTCCCTTCCCCTTCTCTGATAAGGAAAAGGCCATCCTGTTAGTTATTGTCTCTAGGAAAACCTTTAACTCAGCGCACTCAGGAGGTTGAGGTAGTGGTGGTGGGGGGTGATTGTAAATTCAAGGACAGCCCAGACTACACAGCAAGACCCTGTCTCAGAACAAACCAATCACCAAGCAAACAAAGCTGTCTCTAGAGAACTGCATAGCTAGAAATGATCCTGGGCTAGCCTTAGTTAACACAGCTAGGTTAGACCAAGTCACTGTCCCAGGTCCACTATCCCTAACCTACAGCATCCTAGATGTACTATTTGGGGGCAATCCTGGGCCTCTTTTCTGAGCTATCTCAGGGTTCTTTAAGGAGGTGGATGTGGGACACTCTCAATGCTGTCTTCTGGCACCTTGCCTGACTTGTGGCCCTGATACAGTTGGGTCCACAGGAGAAGGGGTCACCTTTGACCAATTCCCTCTGTCTGGGACACCTGGTGTGTCATTCTGGAGCAGTTAGGTAACTCCCCACACCCAACCCCACCCCCTCTTCACATTCCAGCCACCCACTTCCCTCAGGCGGGCAGCCTGTGGAGATTGGGTTCCACAGTCCTCTGTCATTAGCTCCTAATCCCGCCCGGTTCCCACCGGTCTCCGTTCTCTCCCTAATCCCTCTGATGGGAGGTGATCCGGGACCCCGAGGCTGGGGAGGAGGGTCTGGGAGAGAGGAGCTGTGGGTCTTCACAGGAACTCTGGATCCTTCTGCCTGGACGGTGCATTGCTGAGCAGTTTCCTGTGTACGAGCCGTCAGCAGAGCTTCCTGCGATGGCGGGCACCGTCTGTCCTAGTTGTCAGTCACTCCTGTGGGAAACAGCAGAATAACTCAAGTCTGGGCTTTCTGCGATCACTGTTGTGAGACTGTGGTTCCCAGTGGAACTCAGGCTGGCCTCAGACTCCAGAACCTTCTGGTTGACCTCTCAAGTACTGGGACCACAGGGGTGCACTGCTGCAGCCAGTTTATAAACCTGAAGGCAGGGCCGATGCTGACTGGGTGCTGACTGATTTACCAGTGTCTGCACCACCCGGCTGCTAGAGCTGCGGTTTTAACTGATTTCTCCCCCAATCCCCTTTATTTCTCTCTGGTATTGGAGAGTGAGCCCAGGCTTTAGACTAGGCTTTGCAGGTGTCTGACCACTGAACTACACAGTGCCCAGGCCTCTTTGAACTTTTTATTTTGAGACAGGGTCTCACTAACTTGTTCAGGATGGTTTTGTATTCACTCTGTAGCTCAGCCAAGCTTTGAACTTGTGATCTTCCTGCTCAGTGTCCTAAGCATCTGAGATCACAGGTCTGTACCATTGGGCCTGGCATTTTGAACTTTATTCCCCCGTGTGGCTTATAGCTAGCACGATCACATTTAGTAAGGTCGTGCCACACACCACGTTGAATTCTGAGCACAGTATCTCTACTAGACATAAAAAACTCCCTAGAAGGGGTGGGCATCATTGTTTAGCATACTCTACAGATGGGCAAATCAAGGCATGGCATGGAGCAGTTAAATAGCTCACCCAGGGACTTGGCTGTTCCACAGCCTCGGCTCCAGGATTTCACACTGGTAAAGGACTGTAGGAGCCAGAGGGATCGAGGACACAGGAGAACACGGCCCACAGAATCGACTAAGCAGGGCTCATAGGAGCTCACAGAGACCGAAGTGACAATCATGGAGCCTGTGTGGGTCTGTGCTAGGTCCTCTGCATACATACTGTGGTTATTTAACATGGGTGGTGAAAACTTTTAATCCCAGCACTTGGGAGGCAGAGGCAGGCAGATCTCTGTGAGTTCGAAGTCACCCTGATCTACAGAACAAATTTCAGGACAACTAGGGCCATTACACAGAGAAACCCTGTCTTGAAAAATAAAAAAATAAAAAATAAAAATAAAGGGTTTTTACTTCCTAGTCTTATTGCGTCTCGTTATGCCCTTTGTTACGCCATGTTCAGTTGATATTCCTGAGAGGGCTGCTACTTTCTGAGGGGAGACAGAAGCAATGGATCTGGGGAGTGGTGTGGGAAGGAACTGGGAGGAGAGGAGGGGAGGGGAGACTGTGTTCAGGATGTAATGTATAACAGAAGAATAAGTAAGAATAAAGAAAAGAAAAGGAAGGGACCCAGTTCAGAGGTCACCCAATGTTAAGTAGCATATGGCTGCTCATCTAATGGCCAGGAAGTTGAAAAGGGTAGGGGTGACAGGGACAAAATATACCCTTCAAAGGTGTATCTTTTGTGAACACACCTCCTCTGAGCAGGCCCTGCCCACTAGCCCATTCAGCATGAACTCTTCAGTTCCTTGGGCACTGATGAAGTTAATACCTGGATGGTCCACCCATCCCTCAAAAGCATCAGCGGGGGACTAGGCCTTCCACATAGTAGCCTTTGGAGGGTGACTGCATGGCTGAATATTAAAGAGAGCCAGCTATTCTTGGGGGAGCAGCAGGGATTCTGCAGAGAGCAGGAGGCTTCCCGTTTGCTGATCACGTCCTCGTTAGTCCTCACAGAAGCGACTGCAGTTGGACCTCTTTCCCAGCCAAAGCAACGGTAGTCTTCACAGAGGTCAAGGAGCCTCCAGGAGTTGTGCAGCTAGAATTGGAGCCCAGCCTATCTGATTCTGCTACCCACGGTGGAACTGGAGCAAGCTCCATCCCCACCCCCCATCTTCCACCCCACCGCAAGCCTTAACACCAGGCTTGGGGACATCCGAGAGCTCGGCAAACAGCTGGACGCACGTTGGGTTCCCACCTCTGCACACACCCCGGGCTGCAGAGAATGTGGAGCCAACTGAAGTTTAACGTTCCCTTCCTTTGAAACAAAGGACCTGGGGAAGGAGCCCACCTGTTCACGCCCAAAACTACCCTCCCCAGGTAAACACCCCCAGGCTGCATTGAAAAATTCATTTGCCAAGGATCCAGGGGACCAAGGCAACCACCACAACACGCGTGAGTAAACACAGGTGGGGGGAGTTGACAGAACTGCCTTGCCTCACCCAAGAACCTTCTAGGTTTCTAGGCAATGGGAAAGGGTTGCTCTCACCAACTCCAGTGTCCACCCATTCCTGCCCACCTTCCCTAAAGTAGATCATGCTGGAACCAGCTAAGAGAGTCTGCAGGGAGTGCAGAGGCCTCCGTGTGAACAGACATCCTTAGGAAGAAGCAGGCAGGAGAGAGCTCAGACCACAGGAAGGGAGGCAATGGGGTGTGTGGGGGGGAGTAGGGTGCACAAACATCCAGTGGTTTCTGTCACACCTTCCAGGCTTTATTACTCTGGGGCAGATTTATTTATTTGTTTATAATTTTTTCCAGTGTTAGGGACCCAATCCAGGGCCCAGCACATGCTGGTGGGGAGCTCCACTCCTGAGTTTTTGTTAAGGAAAATGCGAGAAGGGTTAAAGAAATAAGATCTACACACACAATAGAAATGTTTCATTCTTTATATACAGCTTGGTGATTTTTTTTTTGCACACTCACTGGGTTGTGTACAGCATCTAGTCTAACTGTAACAAAGGTTCGGTGGCTGCTTTAGCTAAAAAGCAT